CAATCTATTTTAAATCTAAAAGAAGCAATTTCAGGTGAGGCATGAAACGCTGCTGTTGGAGAGCAGGTAAAAAAACCAACCCTCCCAGCAGAAGCGAAGCTCCCTGGCCCCAGCACACCGGCAGCACGATCCCCGCGACCGCCTGCAGACGGACGGAGCTACAGCAGCCACCCACGCCGGCTGGCTGGGTCTTCAATTTAGCGTGTCCCCGAAAGAGCTATAGATGGCGATTGGTATTAAGTTGTACAATTGAAAGCTACTTGTGTAAGAGGATTGCTTTCAGATACGCGCGTCGGAAGATTTGCTTTAAGCACAAGGCAATTCAAGTGTAATTGCAGGAGTGAATCCTGCCCAAATTGCTCGCAGAGCAGCTTCCAGATGTCAGATGGACCCCAGGAGGGACGAGCGGGCAGGACGCGGCCCTGGTTGCCATCCAGCCTGGTATTTGGGGCTGTGTTTTCCCCCTAGCTGCTGAGCAGGTGAAAATCATGATTTTTCTACGACACCTCAGCTGCCAGTCCCCATAGGGACGCCGCAGCATTGGCCTTAGCGCAGGTCACCCACCTTGTCCCTCCTCCAAGCCCCAGTGGTGGTGGCCCCATCAGCCCCATCTCCAGGGCTGCAAACCCACCACCAGCACCCGCTCAGGACAGACTCGCCCTGGAGCACAGTGGGGAGGATCAGGGAGAAGGATGGAGGGAGTGTGTGGACACAGGGAAGATCAGGGAGAAGGATGGAGGGAGCACGGGGAAGATAAGGCAGAAGGATGAAGGGAGTGTGGGAACACAGGGAAGATCAGGGAGAAGGATGGAGGGAACATGGGGACACAGGGAGGATCAGGAGAAGGATGGAGGGAGCATGGGGGAGACAAGGGAGAAGGATGGAAGGAGCGTGAGGACACAGGGAGGATTGGGGAGAGGCCTCTTACAGCGCCAACAAGTTATTTCAGCTGAACCAAATGGCCCATGGAGGAGCGCTGTCTAACAGGAACAGCAGCAATTTGTGTGCCCCAAGCGGGGCCGGGAGAAGGAACACCGTTAATGCCACAGCACAGAGAAAACACAGACAGAGTTTTCTTTAGGGCTCCCCTAGGATTTCCAAGGGAAGGCACTGTCAGGGTTTTATGGAGCATTTCACATGAAGTGCTAATCACTACGGCAGCCGTTGAGGGCAGCAGCCCCGGGGCTCCTCCGGTGCGGGGGCCGCCTCTCCCGGGGCAGCACCGGCTGCTACCAGGGCTCACCGCGGACGAGCAAGACATTGGGGTGAACACTGGTGATTCGTGGCTGCTTCACCTGTCAGGGAGGTGGGTGCAGGATGGAGGTGTCTGGCCCAGAAAGGAGGAATAGGTGCAGAAGAGCTGGCATCCATCGAGGGGAATGTGGCGGGTTATGGCGGACACCAAACACACCAGCCCAAAACTCCAGCTGCGCCCACACGTAACTGATGCTCCAGGGTTAGCCAGAGTCCCACAAAAAGCTCATGTCTGGCCTAAGCTGCTGATGACCTCAGCTAACCTGGCCCACAGGAGGCTGGTAATGAGGAGGCAGTGAAATACTTGTGGACCTTTATTTTGGCATGAACAACTTCCCTTCCCTAGGACTTGGCTACAGGAAGGTCCCCCCATGCTCTACATTCACAAGAGGTCACACAGAGGAACGAGGATGACCGTAATCGCACAGCTGATCAGAAACCAGGGAAGATCACTACCTAAACATATATCTGGTGGCTTGGGAGATGCCCTGGGACAACTGCCTGGGCTGGCAGATGTGAGCCAGGTCTTCCAAGAGTCTTGCAGAGCAGAGCTGGTGGCTGGAGAGGTCTCTGCACCTACCAAACATCTGTGTTCAGGTAGCTGCATCTCAGCCCTGACATTTTTACTCAAACTGCTTGAGTTCTGCAAAATAATCCCAGAACACAACAGTTTTTAACTCAAACATTGTCCAACCCTGGGAATTTCTGAGAAGTCCCCTTCTCCACACAGCATCCCTCCCAGCAGAAGCAGGAGTCAGAGTACAGCTCTCACTAGTAAATGTATTTTTTGCCTGTTAACAGCTTCAAATCTTTCCGCACGGAGCATCTGGGCCTTCGAGTGCTGCTAACCTTCACTCCAAAGCCCAGACAGGAGTTAAATGGTGTCAAACGTGACCAAGAGAACAGAGGAGAGACAGAAAAGGATGGAATCGCTCCTGGTGAAGCCACGGTGGGAACAGGACAAATCCTGCCCAAGGGGAAAGGAGAGCATCCTTTCTCTAGCCTGTTTCTTAAGGAAATCAAATCCCTAAGACTAACCTCCCATGAGGATTTAGGAGGTATTTTTTGAAAATATAGTCAGGAAAGGAAGAAAAAAGTCATTTTGGAGACCTTGCTTGAAGACAGGTGCCCACCACTGACCCAAATATGCAAAGATCCTCACCCAGAGTTTTCAATGCCTTAACGAATCCATCTCTTTCCTCCACCATTCACTGAACAGCAAAATGTATCACCAAGAACACAATAAAACATTTTCTGGCGGAAGAAGGCAACAAGCAGCTGCCCTCCCAGCTCAGCTTGGTTCTCGCCAGCTCCCATGAATGGTGCAGTAAAGGATGAAACACGTGGACATGTCTTAGCTAGGAAGCTGCACCAGCAGCCCAGAAGATCAGATCTCACCATGACCATGGCCTGGCTCACCCTGACGGCAGCTTTCAGGACAGGCCATGACACATGGTGGCCTGGGCACAGGGTCTCACCAGCCTGGCTGGGACACTCGGCAGACCGAGCTCAGCCTCCAGCCAGATGCAATCGCACAGCGTGGACACCTTGGGGTTGGGAGTCTCACGGCTGGACTTTGGTGATGCAACGCACACAATGCAGCAACGTTATCGTATCAGGTTTCTGTTGTAGGAAGACGGGCAGGTGGCTTGAAAATGTCCTGTCCCTCCTCAGGGCTTGCTGGTGGCACCTGTGTCCTGCTTGGCATTGGCCTGAGGAAGCGTGGTGACTTCTTCTCGCCACCTCTAACCTCCATTCAGTGCTCTGGGGAGAGGAGCCAGGTGACCAACCTGTTAGAGCAGCCTCCCATCAGCCAAGCCCTCTCTATCGCCCACGGATACGCAGATGCTCTGCCTTCCACTCCACGTGCTATCAAGAAAAAAGAAGATATTCTGCAATGTTTGTGCTTTTGATCTTAAAAGCCCTTTAGCATCCCCTCTTACAAAGTCTCATACAGCAAAGACAACAAATGCTGTAATAGAAACAATTTTTACAGTTCAAGAAATGAGGTTCTTTTTTAAAAAATAATTACAGTCTCAGGAAGTCCTACGCATAGTGCCGCGGGCGCTGGGCATCGCAGGCTTGTGGACCTTCCCATTAAGGTGGGAGCATTGTGAACGCCTCTGATCTCTGCTTCTGGAGTCCAACACACATGACTGTGTTTTAATTCCCCCCAGCAGCTGGCACCTCTGGGTCTAAATTAAAGCTCTTTCTGCAGCTGGTTCGGTCAGGCTCCTCAGCTGAAGGGCTTCAGCTGGAGCAGGTCAAGCCCCCATGCAGCAGACTGGGGTAACGGGGGAGCCCCGTTGCCCGCTGCCCTCCCACACCACAGCCCGTTCACCGCAAAAGGCTGGCTGGGCACAGGGAGGAGGAGAGCGGCCAGCGCTGCCCCGTGCCTCGGGGGCTGCCAAAGGGCGGAAGGCATTGGCAGAGGCGTGGGAGGCTAGCTGGGAAGCGGTGGCGTTGTAGCCTAGTTCAGCCATCCGGCAACTGAAGGCACAGCTGGACATGGGGGGTCTGCCCTGGGTGTTTGCACACCGATCCTTTGCAACTCCTCAGGGACTGCAGCCAACGTGGATGTTGCATTAACGGAAAGGGAAAGGTCGTCGGCACGTGAAAGCGGGGGTTTTCCCAACAGAAAACAACCCACCCCCCTCATTTAAATGCAATTTTCCAGCCAGGCTGCAGTACCTCCAAACAGAATGCCAGGCATGGCCCAGGGTCTCCGAGAGCAACACCCAGCGACATGTCACTGGACCTCGTGCCTAGATGTCACCTCTCCAAACTAAAAGAGTTGGTTTCTTGACACAAGAGATCTCAACCACAGTCAGTTTTCATTTACATCTGATCACCCCCTCCACCCAAACGAGCAGCAACACTGCCGAGTCGCCCGCGTGGAGCGAAGGAAGCCATCCGCTGACGCCCGAGCCTGCTGGCTCCCCGCAGCACGTCCTCACCATCAGCAGGGCACTGGACACAGGCAGCGGGAGCCTAACGGGGCTTGGAAGAATTGTACGTGTTGTTTAGGGCTGCTGGGGGAGCAGGATAAAGCTGCTCGGAAAATAGTCATTGCCAAATCCATGAAATTGGAAAATATTTGGAGAGATATCAGAAGCTGCAGACGATATTAAGAGTGGTGCTGTTACTTACACCATTCCCAAGCTTCAGCTGCTTTGGGTCTTTATAGGAATTGGCAGTGTTTAAAATACATAAATCTTTGTTACTGTCTGTACAATGATACTTCCAGCAAGGCTCAGGCTTTTAGATCCAGATCCTTCTGCAGTCCCACCTGCACAGATCCAACCAGCCCGTGGTGTTGAAATCCCCTTGGCACTTATCCTGATGGATGTGGAACGTTTTGCTGCCGCGTTCGATGCCAGCACGTGCCGGGGTCTCCTCGCAGCAGGGCACAGAAGTCAAACGAAGGCTCCCCCTCCACATCCAACTCCAAACATTCTCCGCTGCAGAGACCACAGCCACTGCCTCCCTCACCACGCTGCCAGTTACGATAAATTGCTGGCATGCACTGTTTGCGATTTATCTTGAGACAGAGAGCATTATAAATATTTTCAACCAAGAAGCCCTAAAAACAGGAGGGAAGGGTTAAATAAAGGCTTTACCCTCCTTGTCAATATCAAACATCAGAAAAATCTAGGTGAATAGATTCAAAATTGGTGCTAGCCTAGAAATGGAGACCAAAACCCAGCAGCCAGCCAGCCCAGAGTTTGGCGAGCCCCAACCTAACCTCAGCACCCAGAGATGTCTCTCGCTTTGTTCTTCCGCTGGTATCTTACGTCCAAGGGATCGAATCCCCTTTCTCTGGACCCAAACAGCGCCCAGCGAGGAGTTCTGGCTGCGTAATCGGCCGCCGTGAAAGTCTTGGACCCGCCGCTCCTCTCGTGCTCTTGCACCAGCTCCTGGAAGCGGTCGTAGTTGATCCAGGTCCACCACTCGCCATTGATCTTGAACTGGAAGGAAAAGAAACCCGTTACTGAGCCAGGGAGCGGCGAGGAGTACCAAATACCACGTTTATGTGAAGACAAGCTGGGTGCATATTAAAATGGTTACCCAGCTGTAGTCTTTTTTAATTTTCTAGCCACATTAAGGTCCAGGGTAAAGCCATCCAGAAGCTAATGTAGGATTATTGCTTTAATAGAGAAAAAGATCTTTGGGTGGACAAATACCCAGAACCTACTGTTTCTGAGCCACATTTCAATCCACAGGGGTTGACCACACACACACAGATAGAGGATGGCCAATTTTCTTAGAGCTTTAATCATTTAGCGCTGTCTACCAGCAGATAACCTCCATGAGGGTTTGACTGTTGGGTGCTTTGCCGGACCCTTCAAAGTACCAGATCCTACCACCACTCCAGCCCCACTTTGCCAGGAGGAACGCTTCCACGGCGCATCCCAAAGCCTTCCCAGGCGCTTGCCAGGCGTCACTTATACCTGAAAGCCCTTGGCTTGGGGAACTGGAAGAGCCCTGAAGGAAACGTGTAAATTTGAGAGCGATGCCCAGGTACCCCTTGGCGAAGGGACCTTTCCAAGGTCAACCGAAGCCCCTGTTCAGAGCGTGTGACACCGACTCCAGGGCAGCCACAGCCTGGCAAAATGGTACAGGAGCAACACCAGAGCCGTGTGCTGTGGTGATCGGGATGGATTTGGGTGATTCTTGAAAGAGCCAAGAGGGCTGTGTTTGGGACCAGGGGAACATAAAAAGGTTTAATGACATGAATCCTCTTTCCATGTGAGAATTTTAAGAATTGCTTATTTTGACAAGCTGAAGCTGCATTTGTCTAGCAGACCTGCTCTGCTAATTTAGCAACAGCCTTGACTGAATCCTCAATTAGGATTTATCTGAGCTAAAAGCTTATTATGCACTTCATCCAAAAAAAAAAAGAAGAAAAAAAAAATAGGGAAACCAGACTGACTCCCTGTTTTTTTTTCCAAAACCTGATGGCTATGCATTTAGGCTATGCATTTAAAACGGCACTTGACTTTCTGCCCAAGAGCTAAAAGCTTTTTTGGTTGGAAAAACTGCTGACACCTGCAAAATTTTTGCAATCAAACATTGCTAATGCTAATCTATTGCTGCCTGCGTAATTACAGCGAATTCTTGCAGGAGTCGTCTTCCGCACAGTGCGGAGATGTGAGACTGCAGAGTCATAACAGCGGGGAACAAGTCTCGCCGTAAATAAGCTCGCACCACGCTCATTCTTCATACGCTAAGGTGCAGGCCGTGTTTCACCAAGGCGACGCGTCCTTCCCAGCGCGCGCGGCCGCAAGTAAAGCAATAGCAGAGGAGACAACGTATCGCCCGTAAAGAGGCAGGTGCCAAACAGGACCCAGGCTCAGGAGACCCGAACTTCCCTCCCAGTGTGTGCGGAGGTGCTAAGCGACAAGTTCACGCCATGCGTATGACTCCCTGCTCCCCCCAGATTTGATTCGCTAGCACTCGGCAAATTCTCACACAAATGAAGGGCAAAAAAACCACCAACCCACAGGATCCAGCAAAGCCTTTAACACACATGGCACATGGGAGAGTTGTCCAGCACACGAGCTGTTGAGCTTATTCCCACGATGGGTCCCTAGATAGCCTTGAGGCCACCTAAAACAAGCCTAGCATGTAAAGAGCAAAAAAGCCGCTGAGACTTGAACTCAACTGAATAGGTAATTGGGTAAAGCCCATTTTCTTGAAAACCAACGGGATGCTCTAAACTCAGGATGGAAGGGAGAGCTTGCAACGAGGCGTCAACCCTGTGGTCAAGAGTGGCTCAGCAAGAGCACCAAAGCCACAGGAGATACTGGTGCCACCCAGAGCAGCTGAAACGAGGGAATGGACTGTAGCCACCACCCCCAACCCAGACACTGGTGTAGATGTTTACCTCTCCAGAATCTTAAAGCTAGAAACTGCACGAAAACAGCATACTATTACCTGCAGGAGACATGGAGAACTATTTCTAGAAGAAGCCCCGCTCAGACCATCGCTGCGTCAAGCCAGTCAATGGTTATGCAGCTGCACTCACAACCGGTTTAATTGGCAATGGGTGGGTAAAAGCCCACCACCCTATGAATGGGGTGGCATCAGTGGTGGCACTTTCATCGTCCACAGCAGCTTCAACACCAGCATAACACTGTCACTGCCCAGCTGAGGGCAGAAGCGGTCTTGTACACGGATGAGAGTCTGACATGAGTTTCTGGGACACAATCAGATAGTTTCTCTCTTTTTAGAAGCAAACTACGTTTTCCCACCCAGTATCATGGCTGTATCTCACCACATCGGCTGTTCTTCCATGGAGTTAGTGACCTTTGACGAGGCTAGCAGCAAAAGGATATAAAACCAAAGATCTCCCAAGACCAGTTCCAAAAAGCCCCGTCACCTGGAGCTGGGCAGCAAAGCTTTCAGAGGCCAGCAGAGGAAGGGTGCAGTGGAGCGAGCAAGGACGCAGCTGGCCCAAAGGCAGCGTGCCCAGACCCGCTGGCGTTTGGGCTGTGCTCCTGTGCAAGGGGGGATGCTGAGAGGTGGCTTGGTCAGTGGCCAGAAGGGACCTCTGCCCTCTTCTCCCCGCATCGCTCGCTCCCCTTAGCATAAAGCACTATGTACGCTTTCCTGGGGATAAAACCCTCCGGGCTTGCATAAACCACGTGCGTTGCTCTGCGTCCTGAACTGTGGCTAGGTCACCAAAGTGAGATTTTAAGCTATTTAATTTTGACTCCGTCTGAACCTGCAGCTCCCGACACAACGGAGCTATTAAGGCTGGGAGCCGCCGGCTGCAGACTAAGGTGACGATACCGTTCCCACCAGAACAACCAAATGAAGGCTGCCTGGGATTCATTATAAAAGCAGATTAAATAATATTAAATATTTTTAGTGCTGCAATAGCACAGCTATAAAACACACAGAAATGGGAGCAATCCTTTAAGTGTGTCATGGAAAGCAATTACTTCTGCTGAGGAATAAAAAAAACCAAACATGGGGTGGGGGAGAACAGTTTCAATTGCCCGAAAGATTTACAGATTGGATTTTAACAGTTTTGTGATTGTTCCATAGACAATAGAAGATTTAAGACTCAAAATAGTTTCACAACATCCATATAACAGGTGAGCCAATGTTAAACATTGGTGTTATTTCAGACTAATGCAGTCAGGCTTTTACTGAATTTTTCACTACCTGGTTAAGTCTTTTAAGGTGATAAATACATCGACAAAAGACAAATGGCTGAAACCCTTCCCTCTTTTTTTTTTTTAAGCTAGGATCATTAAAAAAAAAAAGGGAATAAAGCTCCTTCAGCTGGCTCTGAAGCCAGGCTGTGTTGTCTGGAAATGCAAACTCGCCCTCCCCGAGCGCCTTGCTCAAGCAGCGAGATGAGATGGGAGCCAGTGCACGCCTTCCCCTCGGAGCTCGTGCTCCCAGGGTCCCCGAGCTCTGGTCCCCAAGCTCCGGTCCCCATCGTCCCACCACCAATCGCTCCCTACAGACGGGGCACTGGTGCACAGCAATGCAAAAGCTGCCCGATTTCTGCAGATCCTACAGCCAGGGCAAGGGGCACTGCCCCGAGCAGGCGTTAATGCGGGGAGAATGAGAGGCAAAGGGAACGAGGGGAAACTCATAATGGCCTTCAAGCCCAGCAAAGCAGATCTAGGCGTGATGCTGGACCACCACTGGGGACATTTGTCAAAGGGTTACACGTCTCTGCCGGGAATGGCATGGCTGGACCCAGGGGAGCCACAGGGCAACGGTGCAAAGGACAGAGCTACCTGCCTGGGCTGTGCTGGCCATGGACACGGTCAGTCCCTCAGTCTACAGCAAAACTCATACATATCCTGCAAAGACAATCAGGATCCAGGACTAAAATGGAAAGCCAAGTTACCTGGGAGCATGGCTAACACCTCCCTTTTCTCTTATAACTCACAAGAGTGGACATGAACGGGAAATTTCTTTAAATTATCTTTTGCAGTAGGTTTACAGCTGCTCCGACTGCAGACAGAGAAGCTTCTTGCTACAGAAACCCATCAACATTCATGAGGGAGAAGTCACACTACATATTTCTTTTCTTATCAACATATTTGCATAAGCAATTTTTTAGGGGTAAAAACGTATGCATATATTGAGGACAATATAGTAGTACAATTTACTACATTCCTCCAGACATGCATAATTGCCGAGAAATAAACACAGGGTTTATACGAAGGGATAAAATATAGAAGAGAGGCAGAGATGGTGACACATGAAATGCTAACACTGAAAAATGGAAGTCGGCCAAAAATCAATTAGTTTGTCCTAAGAAGGATAGTGTTATATCTTCTTCAGAGAAAAACAGACTGAAATGAGGAGGGTCCTCTTCATCCCTTCACTCTGGTCTTTCTCTAGAAAAAAAATAATGTATTTTCAGGAAAGGACTAAATAGTATGGGCTGCAGAAGAGAATAAAGCAGAGCAGTGGGGCAAAGCCTGCCGCGGCCCCTTGCAGACCTCATCCTCGCAGAGCGACCCCGGGTTGGAAGGACAGAGCCCGTCCCCGATGGGGAGGGGACCCGTGGGAAACCTTTCTCCCATGAGCTGTGTTGCAACGCAGCATCCCCGAGGAGCCGAGGGAAGACTGGGAAGAGAAAGCAGAGCTTTGGGCCTTGCAACAGCAACTCTTTAATTACTCGAGGACACGAAATCCAACAAATGGATTCTTCCCCAGGCAGACGCACAAGGTTTAATGGTTAAGTACAGCAGTTCTATGTGTAGCTTTAAAGACCACACACAAAAAAAATCAATCAGTGGTAAGCAGGGAAAACAGCACGTGCTTCCGTTGCAGGGAGGCACAGAAACCGGCGTACCATCATGCAGGAGGGCAGGGAGAGCCCGCTGCTCCTCCGATGCCTTTTCTAGTTAATGTTTTCCAGCATTTGAAAACCTAGCTTTGCCGAATGTTTCGGGGGACGCTTATTTTGCTTTGCACGTAGCATGAGACATTA